AACTATAAAAAATAATATTTTTGTTTTAATGCATAGTTGCATCATGAAATAACATAGTAAGAAGATTAAAGAGGTTTGAGAGCATAATTGGTCCCATTTCTTCAGAAAATAAAGTTTTTATAGGAGTTAATCCATTTATTAGGTGGAGTATATAGTTTAATTTATTCATTGATAAATGATAATAGATGCCCATATACCAATAACTTATCGGTCAAAAGCAGAGAAACTCTCTCGGGCACGTTTAGCAAGAATGGTCCTTAACCACTAAACTTCCCAGCCTTCCCTCCTTTACCCAACGTTTTCTTTACCTTTCTAGCTCTGCAACCTCTGAAAAAACAGAAAATATTCAAATTGTTTACCTCTTTTAGTTTACCCAGTGGTTTTCTTCATACATTGGTGAAATATCCTCCGGGTTCTCCCCCGACTCCGGTCGGAGGGCCGACGACTACCATGAATACAACCGTCCGGAACACAAGCAATCTCGCCAAAGCCATTCTCAACCTTCTTGGAGTAAGTAAGGAGCTGTCCATCAGGTCTGCTTGAGGTTAAAGGAACTATCTACAGATTCTGGGATTCCAGGGTCGAGATACAAGGCATCTAGAAAGAGATTTCACAGTATCTAGAACTAAACTATACACGAAGCAAGCTACTTAACCACTAAGAAGTCATGTCGACGAGAAGGATTTCTTATGTTGATAAAGGAAAAGGAATTACCGTGGAGCGAACTCAAGCTCCTCGGACTGGAAGAATCAGAATGCAAGCTCCTGATAATGAGACCCTGAACCACAGGCACAATCTAACTCTTATTGGCCGAGTCACCAACAAATCTGTGCAAAAAGTATGGTCACTCATACCGTTCTTCACAGAGAAATGGAAAAATTATGGAAGACCGATTGGCTCAGATCTAGGTAATGGATTATTCCAGTTCCAGTTTGCTAGTGAAGCAGACTTGCAGGCGGTTCTGGAGAAAAGACCTATTCACTTTGCTAGATGGATGGTAATTCTACAGCGATGGGAACCAACTACTGACCCATCCTTTCCCTCTCTCATCCCCTTCTGGATTAAGGTTCAGGGGATTCCTATTCATCTATGGACAGAAGAAACTATAAGAAGTTTAGGAGAGGACATCGGTGTTTATGAGGACATGGAGATTACCCCGCTGATGGTGAGAATGAAAGTCCATATCAATGGACTATTACCGCTCATGAAGACATCTATCATCGAATATTCTAATGGGGATGAGGTGACTGCATCATTCGTATATGAGAGGCTTGAAAGACATTGCGAAAAGTGTCTCCGACTGGATCATGATGTCAAGGAATGTCTAGTTGCTAAACATGAGCTAAAAAAGCGAAGGGAAGAAGATGAGAAAGCTAAACTCGCCACTAACCAGAGACAGGGAGAAAGCTCTCAACCAGAGAACTCGGACGTCTTTCGCTTTGCAGCAACAAGAGCCAAGCTTGAACCCCAGGAAAGACATCATTATGATAGAGCCTCCTTTGACAGGCACAGGGATGCGCGTTTCCACCTAAACGAGAGCAGACGCTCAAGGAACTCTCAGTCGTCGTCCCACAGGAATCATTATAACCACAGACCTGCAGAATGGAGAGTTAGAAACAATAGTCAATCTCTCAATCAAAACACGACTGGTGCGAGGTCTCATGTGGATTCACGTGATAGACAGAACAAGGAAGTTGACTATGAAGCAAGACAAAGAACAACACGAGGAAATCAAGGGATTGAGCTGACATCCAAGAAAGATGAGCACAGAGGAGAAGAATCAAGCTCCTCCAAAGCTTTGATTGGCTCTCAAGAGAGGGGGACTCCCCTGCAATCAACTCATCAGGAAGCTTTTGCGATAGCCCTGAAGGAAGTTAAGGAGGCAATGGGATTGTACACTAAGTGTGCTGATCCAGCAGAAAGTGCTGCAAGACGTGAATGGATGGAATCTGCAGAGCAACAAGGGGAGATGGAGGAAACTGCGATGCAGATGGTCAGAGCTGCCATTAGTGCAGAGCCTGTGATTGTACAAGAGCGTACAAGCCCACCAACTTCCGAAAGAGTCCCTGTAATGCAAAGACTAGGCCAGATTGCTATCAACGCACCAGCACATCTTGAGGACCCCCCTGCGGAAGCTACTGTGGCTAAAAGGAAACCTGGCAGACCTCCAGCCTCGATGCGGCTGGGTCTTTCTAACCAGAAAAAGAACCTTAACAGCAGAGGAGATGCACCTGAGAAACAACAAGATAAAAAGAAACTTGGGAGACCACCCGGAAAACGCACAGTACAACAGAGCCCGAGGCTAATTCAAGGATCAAACTCAAGGAAGCGTAAAGTGCAAAAAGTATCCTTACCTACCTGCAGAAGGAGATTGCTGGCCGAAGGTTCAGACCCAAGGAGCTCCAAAAACTCTGATGGCCCCTCAGATGCCACTACAACTTCAGAAAACCAACCTATCTGCAATATGATCCAAAAGAAGCCGAAGTCAAGGAAAAAGATGGATTTTCAGAATCCGTCTTCTCCCGTTCCTTAAAAATTTGCAGCTGGAACTGTCAGGGGTTGGGGAATCCCCGGACAGTTAAGAGACTTCGGGAATTAAAAAAGGACATCTTCCCGGATATATTGTTTCTCATGGAAACAAAAAACCCCGACAGCTTTGTCAATACAAAGCTAGAGCAACTCACTTATGAACATCGGATACTAGTCCCACCGGTGGGACATGGAGCAGGCGGTCTCGCCTTACTGTGGAAGCAAGAAGTTGACTTACAAGTACTAAGCACTTGTGCAAACCTTATTGATACTTGTATAACATTTGAAGGAAAAAAGTTCTTTGCTTCTTTTATATATGGAAACACCGACAAGTCCATGAGGAGACAACTCTGGGAGCAGATTACGATGCTATCGGATTCGAGAGAGGCTCCATTATTTGTCACTGGTGACTTTAACGACCTCACAAGTAATACCGAAAAAGAAGGAGGGCCACTGAGAGAAGAAGGCTCCTTCTCTGAGCTCCGGACCTTTCTATCGGAAACAGACCTATATGACTTACAACATTCAGGCGATCCCCTTTCATGGAGAGGACAGAGAGGCACTCACTTTGTTAGATGCAGGCTAGACCGAGCTGTGGTCAATAGTCTTTGGGCTGAGCTTTTCCCAAAGGCGAGATGTCAATACCTAGCGTACGAAGGATCAGATCATAAGCCCTTGATGTCTTACTTTGAACCTGACAAGAAAAAACGTAGAGGACTTTTCCGGTACGATCGAAGACTCAAGGATAATGATGAAGTCAAGAAGCTGGTTGCAACCACATGGTCTAATGCGACAAACCTGACCATCAACGAACGCATAGCGAGAGTTAGGACAGCAATTACAGAGTGGAGCAAAGCACAATACAGAAACAGCAGAGAAATTATTGAGGAAAAGAAGTTTGAGTTGGAAGCTGCCTTGTCTAGTCCCCTAAACGACACTATTCTCATCCAAAAAATAACAGATGAGCTTAGTACTGCCTATCAAGCAGAGGAAGAATACTGGCGCCAACGTAGTAGAGTCCTATGGCTGAATTTGGGCGACCGAAACTCCGGATTTTTCCACGCAGTCTCAAGAAACCAGAAACGTGCAAACGCCTTCTCTGTCATTGAAGATGGTGAGGGAACCATGTTCCACCAAGAGGACCAGATAACTGATGTCATCGTGGAACACTTTCACAAGATGTACTCCTCAACAGAGGGCAGTAGTAAGGACACAGTGGAGGAGGCTTTGTCATGCAAGGTGACACGTGAACAAAACGCAGAGCTTATCAGTCTCCCTTCAGCGATGGAGATTAAGGAAGCACTCTTCTCGATCCATGCCGACAAAGCTCCAGGACCGGATGGCTTCTCCGCTAGCTTCTTCCACACAAACTGGGATTCCATTGGCTCTGATATAGTCAAAGAAATCCAAGGCTTTTTTGAAACGGGAATCATACCGATGAAGACAAATGAGACTTTTATACGTCTGATACCCAAGATCCAGAGTCCGCAGAAAGTGAGTGACTATAGACTGATTGCGCTGTGCAATGTATACTATAAAATCATCTCAAAGCTCCTCACTAGGCGGCTGCAACCACTGCTCCCGAACCTGATCTCTGAAAACCAATCCGCGTTTGTTAAAGGCAGAGCAATATCAGATAATGTTCTAATTACGCATGAGGTCCTCCACTTCCTAAAGACGTCCAGAGCAGAAAAACGATGTGCCATGGCGGTGAAAACCGACATTAGCAAGGCTTACGAGAGGTTGGAATGGGACTTCATCCAGCAAGTGCTCCAACGATTTGGCTTTCACACCACATGGATCAATTTGATCATGCAATGCGTGTCATCTGTTTCATACTCTTTCCTCATCAACGGCTCGCCTAGAGGAAGAGTTAAACCGACTAGAGGAATTCGCCAAGGCGACCCTCTCTCACCATACCTCTTCATAATGTGTAGTGAGGTCCTATCCGGTCTTTGTAACAGAGCACAAGAAAATGGTTCTCTTAAAGGAATCAAAGTAGCGCGGGGGAGTCCTCGGCTGAACCATCTTCTATTTGCGGACGATACCATGTTCTTCGTGAAAGCCTCAAAGGAAAGCAGCTTAGCACTTCATGCGCTACTCAAGAAATACGAGAGGGCCTCGGGGCAATTCATCAACGTTGAGAAATCCTCAATCACCTTCTCGAAGAGAACACCAGCAAGATTGAAACAAGTAGTTAAAGCCAACCTCAATATTTCAAAAGAAGGGGGAGTGGGAAAGTATCTTGGGCTGCCTGAACTCTTTGGGCGAAAGAAGTGTGATTTGTTCAGCTCAATTGTGGACCGCATCCAACAGAAGGCCAAAGGATGGTCCAATAGATTCCTATCCACAGCGGGTAAGATGGTTATGCTGAAAAGTGTGCTCTCTCCTATACCTTCCCACGCCATGACTTGCTTTAAGCTCCCGGTTTCGCTGTGTCAACGGATCCAGTCGGCTCTCACACGCTTCTGGTGGGATGACCGCGATGGCACAATGAAGATGGCGTGGATATCGTGGCCAAAGATGGTCATGCCTAAGGACAAAGGGGGTTTAGAGTTTAGGGATATTCAGAGTTTTAATGATGCATATTTGGCTAAGCTTAGTTGGAGAATTCTTCACAAACCTGATACTCTTTTTGCGAGAATTCTGACTGGGAAGTATTGCACTACGGAGGGGATTCTAGACTGTGTAGAGCATGACTCAATGTCCCATGGCTGGAGAAGTATTCTAATAGGACGTGATTTGTTAATTCGAAACATGGGATGGGTGGTTGGAGATGGAGCAAGCATCAATGTGTGGAAGGATGCTTGGTTAAGCTTTAATGTACAAGCAAGACCGATGGGACCACCACCGGCGTCACAACTGCAAGTAAAAGTCGCTGATCTATTGCACCCTGAAACGAAAGAATGGGATGTTGAGAAAATTAGGAGCATGATCCCGTGGGAAGAAGAACGAATCAGAGCTATTAAACCAAGCAAAATGGGAGCACCTGATAAACTTATCTGGCTGTCGACTACCTCAGGGGAGTATTCAGTCAAAACAGGGTACGCGGTGGCGCTGCAGGAAAACCCGATCATTGCAGAACTCCAGGAAGTGGAGACCATTACAAATTGGAGAAAGAGTGTCTGGAAACTACAAACAACACCAAAAATAAAGCTGTTTATATGGAAGATTTTCCATGGGGCTTTACCAGTTGGGGAACAACTGCTCAAAAGACACATCGGAGTCGATGGGATATGCAAAATATGTGGTAGGACTGAATCTATTAATCATCTATTCTTTGAATGTACCTTTGTGCAAAGAGTATGGGCAGCTGCCCCGCTAAGGCCAAGGTTTGAGCCTAGAGGAATGATAGATTTAGAAGCTACTTGGAATGATTTATGTGCAAGAATTTGCTTACCCCCTGTTGGCTTAGTCAAGAGTAGCCTAGCACCCTGGATTTTGTGGCAGATTTGGATTGCTAGGAATAAAGGTATCTTCAATGATAGGTGGCTGACTCCGGATGATATTGTGGCAAAAGCAACTGCCTTAGCCCGGGAATGGGAAACCCACCAAACAAAGGTAACGCAGAGACCCTGCTTGGCGGTGGTGAGACCCCCAGTTCCTTCTGATTGCGCCGTGATTAGAACAGATGCGGCTTGGAAGGAGAGTTCGAAGATGGCAGGACTTGGCTGGACCATTACTGACCAGTTTAGAACTCAGTCCTTCTCTTCGCCGGCGCACTTTGTTGGATCCCCACTCGCAGCGGAAGGATTGGCCCTCCGTGCAGCAATCAGCAAAGGCAAAGAGATCGGCTTTACCCGCATCGTATGCGAGTCGGACTCGACCCAATTAATCAAAGCTGTGAACACAGGTTCAGAGGCTTTGGAAATCTACGGCATCATCGCCAACATCACTGCAATCGCTTCCTCGTTTGAAGCTATTTCCTTTTGTTGGATTTCTCGTAAGAATAACAGTGCTGCTGATACTCTTGCAAAACAAATCTTAGCAGATGAGATTGCATTTAATGTATCACCAAACAATGCTTGATCGTATTAATAGAAGTTGTGTTTCAAAAAAAAAGATGCCCATATACCATGAAAATAGGTTTTGCATACATATATATTAATTTAGAGTGTGATTAGTTATTTCTAAACAACACTAAAGAGGCTAAATATTATTCATAATATTTTCCGAAAATTCAGTTTTTTCGTAGGGGTTAACCTAAATATTTCAAGAAAAATTAGAAAAAATAATATTTTTGTTTTAATGCATAGCTGCATCATGAAATAACATAGTAAGAAGATTAAAGAGGTTTGAGAGCATAATTGGTCCCATTTCTTCAGAAAATAAAGTTTTTATAGGAGTTAATCC